TTTTTCCCTTTTCTGGTGAAGAAAATTTTGTCTGTGCATGTTTATGAAATCATGTGCATATACTCTGAGCTGTGAATGTCACTTTTATCTGTCATGATAATAATAACAGAGCTATTTAAATACACCTAATAAGCAGAGGGCAGTGACTGAGCCCAATTTCTGAACTAATCTTGGACTTGTAAACACTAACAGTCCATAAGAAAAGGGGAAAATACTAAATAAAAAGTAATGCTTTTTGAAAGCTCGTACCACCTCATTCTCTGAGAGACTCTATTTGGGTTCTTATACAGCTCCCATCATCGTGTTATGTCAGTGCCTCATGTACATAACACACACACAAACATACACACACAAACCCTTCAGGCTGACGGGGCTGGACTATTTTTTGTGTGTTTCTTTCTGCAGCCCCCAACTCCCACTGAAATCAGCATCACACAGGGCAAGGTTCTTCATTTGTAAAAGTGATTAGAGCTACTTAAAAGGCTTTGAAAGTATCATAACCCATTAAGGTTTCCTGCAGGCCCGAAATGTCTAGCTGAGGCTTCCAACAGATATTAAAAAATAGAATTGGGCCTGAACCACAACTCTGGGTTCTACCATCTCTGGACCATGAGGGTGTTTTAAATCAGAACTAGGAGTTTTACAAGTAGACTTTCATTCTATAGTGCTCTGAAACCAAACCCCTGTAGTGGGATGCCCCCTTTCCTGTCTTTTCAGAGTTTGAAATCCAGATGGGGCTCAGAGGTTTGCTAGGTCAGTCCATCTCTCAGGATTCTCACCTTCTTTGCCAGCAGGGAAAAGCAACAATGTCTCTGAGGTGTAGAGGCCTGACTCACCACTGTATTATTCCACTTTTGCACCTGTGTAGATCATTCCCAGAATCTCCTTTTTTATGCAGAAATGAATCAAGTTTCTCCTCCTAATCAGGCTCAATATTTCTTTTAGCAGTAGATCCCTACTGGGGATGAAGCATATGGAAGTACATTCTTCTTTCTATTAGAAAGGAGCCACATAGTTGGGAATTGGTGTAGTTTTACACCTGTTTAAAAAAGTTTAAAAAAACAAACGAAAATGACACCTGATTATACTAGAAAAAGATCGAGCACATGCCACAGAGGCCAGTTACTCAGGAGAAGAGTAGACAGCAATGCTTTCCTCCCATTCAATCTCTCTCTCTAACATGATATATCTATATATCTCACTCACACACACACACACACACAGAGGCATTTTATCTACACTAAGCCTATGGATTACTGGCTCCCGCCTTCGCAAAAAAAAAATGTTGCTAAGCAACCAGCCAGGGGTTGCTATGGCATTTTCAAGT